AGAGGGCTTTAAAAATGCTTGCAAGCATGCTGCTGCAGCATGCCCACTTGCTCATGCCTGACAAAGAACAGGCATGAATGCAAAGAAGCCAAAGACTGCCAAGTATGTGTCAGTGGCAGACCGTGCCAAGTAGTATCCTGCAGGTACCTTACATGCAGATGTTGACAAACTCTTCTGCATCACCTGCAACCTGGCCCTAGATGTAACTAGGAAAGGCACCATCAATTGGCACCTGGAGTCAGAGATGCGCATGAAAAAGAAAGTTGTTGCAGAGGTTGACAGTCAAAAGCAGCAGCAAACAACCATGCCCTCCCTCTTCAAGAAGGGTGTGTGCAGACAAAATAGGGGCCCTAAATTGAAGCGGTGGGTTTTAAAAAACACTGCTTCAATTTAGGGCTAATTAAACCCCCATGTCGTACACACACCCTGATGACTTACCTGCTTCTCTGGTGGGGAGAAGAGTGCAAGCTGTTGGTGGGCGGAGCAGCCCCTGGGCTGCAGAGTGGGGCAGGTGCTTACCTCCATGGCAGCAGTGGCCCCCCCCACCCCCAAGAGGCACCCGCCCATAGGCACCTGGCTCAGGCAGTCCTGGGGGTACCACAGCCACAGAGGGAAGCACTGGGCCCCTGTGCAGGTCAGCTGGCAGCAGGGGGGGCGGGGCAGGCATGGAGATAAAGCTCACCACTTTTCTTGGGCAGAGCCCCACTTTTCCAGGTTGCTGCCAGGCTGTCTGCAGGGCTTCCTGCAGAGCTGTGGAGCTGTACGGAGCTGTACGGTGCTTCATTCTGCGGCTGTAGGGGCAGCAAACTAGAACTCCTTCAAGGAATTTTAGTTTGCTGTGCCCCAAGTCATTTGATTTTACACCTCTGAATTTCTTACAGCCACTGGAATTAACACGCAATACGCTGCCGAGGCATGCAAACACCGACACCATTAAAGTGGTGCAAAAGCATTTAACCACTTTAAAGTGTCGTGCACACACGGCGCTCATTTAGTCTACACCCAGCTGAAGACGACAGGCAGCAGGCTGGCAAGGCAAGAGGCAGCATTTTTCTTATGGAGGCATTTGCAGCAGTGAATATCTTGCTGGAGAAGCTGGATCACCTGAAGCTGAGGGACTACCTGAAAAAAAAAGGTGCCAATGCTGGCAGTTTTCCGTGTGCTAACAAGCTACGACAGGACTATCTCCCTGCAGTCATCACTTTGCACACTGAGTCCACAAAGGCTGCCCTGTCAGAGTATGAGTCCTTTTCGGTTGTGGCTGATGAAGCTACCGACCCTTAGGAGAACCTCCTGCTGCAACTTTTATTTGCACCAGGGAGCTGGACTGACAGGGACCTCCCTGTATTTCAGACCGAGCCAGTCCTCACTTCAGGCAATTTTTCCACTGTCTCTCAAGCCATAGTGAAGGTACTTTGCAACATGGCATTGACTTTAACCAGGTCTCAGGCTTCCTCTTCAACATTGCCACGTACACGTGCAAAGCTTTCTCCGACATGCTCAAAAGAATGCTGCCCAATGCTGTTCATGTCACCTGCAATGTGCACGTTCTCTTTCTAGTAGGTGATATCTGGTGCATATAGTTCCCAGAGGTGTGCAGCCTGTTGTCCTCCTTCAAAAAAGCCTCCAAGTACTGTCCAAGGTCTAAGATCTGCTATGGGGACTCCATTGCCAGTCAACATGGGGGCCCACATGCTACTGCGTTCCTGCCACCGGAGCCTGTCCTCACCCGTGGAACTTGTGGTTCAGTAAGGCCCATTACCACGCCGAACACATGCAGTATTACTAGCAGTCCATGAGCGAGAAGCTGGATATTGTGCCCAACTCAGTGCCTGCTCAAGCACTGGTATCTCTTGGGGTGACCTGACCTTCAGGATCAAGTGACGTTTGTGGCTGAGAATGACACTGCGTTCATGGTTTGAAGGAAGGCAGCGTGTGATCCACTGGGCATACAACAAACTGATGAACTTGATCAGCTGGATGGAGAACAGGGCATCACAAAAACTGTCAAGTTGTCCTCAAGATAACCATGGAGATGGGAGCCGTTCCAGATATTGGTTGAGTTTTACTGCTATTACAGGTACAATCCATCCCTTCTACCGTGGTTCAGAAAATCAGCTGCCCCATCCTATGTGCTGTTCACAGTTTGGACCCAAGTCAGGTATTTCTGCTGAGGTGGGATCCTAAACTTCTGAAAATAATCCTGGGTTGGGAGCAGACCATGATGGTAAGCATGCCACTGACAAACTGCACAGGACTGCCAGATGCCTGTAAGTGTGCCTGAATTTTGGGACTCCGCCCGTGACCAGCTTCTCCACCTGTACGCCCAAGCACTGTCTCAGCATCTCAACAAACTCAGTGGATGCTGAGCATGCCATCTATGCTTACAGATGAGCACTCACCCTACAGAAGCAGGCAGTGTCCCTCTCAAAAGCAGTTGGGTGCAGCATGGTTATGTTTAATTCCTGAACAGTCTCTCTCAAGGTTAGCATAGGTTCAGTAGCATGCTCTTGTTAATGTCCTGTAACAAACTGTATATACCTGATGTTCCTTCCAGTTCATGTTGTGCATAGTACACCTTTATTTTCCTAAGGTCTTTCTGTGTATAGTTTAATTTAAGTGCTGACTTAATAAAGTATATATAGTTGGTGTTAGTATAGTACTGGTTTTCCTTTTTAATAACATTTACACTTGGTATTTTTAAAAGTCATTGTCTCCGTTGCTTTATTTTAGCCAGGTAGCTTGCTTTACAATTCAGTTGGGTACGGGAGCTGTTTAATTGCCAAACTTAAATTGTTTGTTTACTCCATAATTTTTGCCAGCCACTCTTTGAAGAGAGTGAGAATTAGTGAATTAACAAGGCAGGCAGCTCCAGCTAGGGCTTTCAATCCATGCCTGGGAGGGGTGGGAGTTGCAGTACCCCTCAGCCAATTAGGGGTGTTGGGGGCGGGGGGGAGGCGCCTTGCTCCACCTTCAAAATGGCTGCCCCAGGTATGATATGGCCATGAAACTGGGGGCCCCAGCCGCATTACACCCATGTAACTGGTTGCTGGGGTCCATGAGTTTGGTAGGTCCATACACATAAATCAGTAAAAGTGATTGGAAATCGATCAAAACCCATAACTGTACAGAAGTTCAGAGAGCACAGACTGGCTTAAAAATGGGGAATCCCAGTCTAAGGTAGCTCTGAATCATCGTGGTATCAGACTTAATCAGTTTAGGTTAGACCAGTGCATTGCGGGTGTCTGAGCCTGGCTGCACCCACACATGACCCTGTGACATGCCAGGCAGGGCCCAGTGCTGGGAAGCTCCTGGGCTGGCAGAGTCATTGGGAGAGGGGCAGGCATGGCTGGGAAGTGCAGTGGGCTGTCGGTGTGTTAGGCCAGGACTCCAGGGATGAGGGCAAAGCAATGGGACCCAGCTCCAAAGATGCTGAGCCAACTTGTGAGGACAGAACTCTACTGCTGCCTGCCCCACAGTGCTGCCTAGGCAGCCAGCTGTGACCTGCCCCACCATTCACCTGGCCATCTCCAAGACTGCCCATTTCATGGGCCACTGACACGGACAGCAACTTGGGGGTGAGCAATCCCCCTGCAGCAGTTGCTGCCCCATGTAGTGCTGGACTTGGCCCCTGCCCTTGCCCCATGCCTAGGGCCAGCGGGGCTGCTCTGAGGGGGTCCTCAGGGAGTGGCACACTGAGGCCAGAACTCCCACCCTGCCGGGCACCTCACCAGGCAAGTGGCAGGGCACAGCAGAACAGAGCTGGCTGTCCAGGCAGTGCTACAAAGCAGACAGCAGCAGAGCACTGTCTGCATGGAACAGCTTGGTATCCTTGGAGCTGGAGCCCACTGCTTTGCTCCTGCCCCACCCCTGGGGGTGTGCATCAATGACAGCCCCAGCCCTGCACACTTGCAGCCATCTGCATTTCGCAGCCATGCCTGCCACTGTTTTAGTGCCTCTACCTGCCCAGGAACTGCCCAGCATCAGGCCCTGTCTGTAGCCAGGCTTGGATGGTGTGTCTGGCTGCCATGCTGGGCTGGGCCAGCGGGGGACAGCCCTAGGTCACTAGAGTACTGGGTGCAGCTCACCCTTGTCCTGCCCTCCCCACCAGCCCCACTGACAGCTACCTTAGACCTGAGTCAGCACAGCTTGGGGGCTCATGCAGCAGGAGCTTCTATCAGCCCGCTCCCCATCACTGCCAGCGGCCAGCTGTCAGCAGTGGTGGCAGGGGCATGGGAGTGGAGGCAGTCTACTGGTAAGCATGCAGGAGCACCTGAACCTGCTGGCCAAGGCGACTGCAAGCAGCATGCATACTCCCCTCCCTCACTGCAAGGGCAACCATCTGTTCCATTCGCTCCTGACCTAATTTTGGTCACTTAAAGTGCAAAATTTAGACCACTTCCACTTTGAGCTTTTTGAATGTCTGTACTTAGCTTATGAAAGTAAAAGGTGAAAACTATCACAATAACCCTGCACAAAAATTAAAACTAGTCAAGCTCATTATGCCTATGTAGAAAAAAACATTTTTTTCTTACATTTCTGCTCTGGCTTATACTAAAATGCAGATGCTATAGTCACTGAAACAGAAAAGTCTACTTTTTTTTCCTTTAATGCTTTTTTGAGCATTAGTTCATCTCTGGAAGTGCAAAGTACATCCAGTAGCCTCAACAGTCAATTATCACTGTTTGCAATTCGTAATAAACTTTAACAGGGATAGCTGCCTTTTCACATTTCCTATAAAGAGCCAAATCCAGGATATCAAAACATTAAATATTTTCACAGCAAAGTTTTCCATTCAATATTAAATGGATATGCTTGACAAGCCTTATAATTTTTTCTTTATATAAATTATATTTTTGTTTTATTCTAGATTTTATTCCATTTCAAGTTTTATTAGTAATATTTTTAAATGCAGATTCGATTTACAAGCGGAAATTTGTTTTAATTGATTAAATATATTCAAAAAGTTAAAGGCAGGATTTTAAACCAGGGTTTCTTACTCTCTGCATAACTGTTATTTGTACTGGACCTCTTGAGAGTTTGAATTTCCTGAGAAAGCATGGATAGCCGGTCTGACTGAGTGGGTGTTTCATCATCATCTGGGTCAGGCGATTCCTGCATCATTTCCTCTATTTCTTCAATCACCTTTACAAAAAAAAGAGAAATGCACATACATATAGACATACTTGGGATAAAAATTAAACAAAATGACTTGTACTGTTAGTACATTCTAGCTCATCTTTTTATATTTGTAAGGTTTTCTAGTTTTAGATATATTTTTCTATAAGCACAATTTAGTGTTGCACAGCAAAGTCAATTTTGACACCGGATTCAGGCTTATTAATGCAAAATTAGAATATAAATAGAAAATAAGACTATTTTATTTGGCCTTCTCACAAAAAGTGTACAAGATGAATATGTTCAGTTTGATGACTAAATATTAAAAGGATGAATCTGTGTAGTTATACAAAGACCTATGCATCTTCATTGGTAGATAATCTTCAAGAATGAGCTTGAACTCCCTTTCCTGATATTCAGTATAAGTTTTATTTCTTAATTTCATCCCATTTCCTCAAATTAAGCCATTTAGTACCATCATAAATAACTATTTTAGTTCCTGATATTTTTATTCTTCAAAATATATATACAGAGGGTTATGCTGCCCCTTGATCACATACAATAAAACTAATTTTATTGCTACCTTATTCTTTCTATGCAAGTCTCTCTCTCCAGCCTCTCAGTTATTTTTATTGTTCTTCTGTAGACATTCTCCAACTTCCAGGTTGGAAGGTAGGAAAAGGGGGAAGGGAGGAAGAGAGAGGTCTGCCTGGCTGGGGAGCAGGAACTCTGGGGGGTTGTGTGGGTACATGGGAGTCTCTTATATTGCAGACTGCTGGGAACTCCAGTGAATGGGAAGCTGAAAGTCCAGAAGGAAACACTGGCAGCAGCAGCACAGCCCAGCCAGAGATACTTGGAGTGAGTGATGTGCCCTTAAACAGGTAGTGTTCCCTTTTTGTTTGCATTTATTTTTAGTAAGCATTGACCCGGAGGTACAGGGTTTCCCAGGGGGGGTT